ATGAATTTATGTCAATAAGTTTGGTATCAAACTGTAGATTATAATTCAAATTTTAGTATTATATGTTATCTATTTCTTAATTTAAAAGTAAATGTAAAAAAAAAACTCAGTTAAGGTTTAACTGAATGTTTCCAGCCATATACTTGATCAAAGTATTTCCAACATTGCTTCGCTGTTATTCAACATAGTTATCTGAAAATTTTAACAATGACTCATACAAGCTACAAACAAGACAATAAATAATTCTTCTCTGATTTTTCCTTTTATTGTAATGGGTCCTTAAACGTGAATGATAAAAACAAGCATAATTCCAATTTTTCTTAACTGATTGTTAACTTTGTAATTTTTGCTACATAATTCTGTCAGGTATCTCTATTATTTAATTAGTAAAATACTTGTTGACACTGTCTAAAAAATTTGTAATAAAAAAATGAAAACATTCAATTTATAACAACATTATTAAAAAATGAAGAAATATGTTTTCAAAATAATTCAGTCAAATTTGAAGTATATCATAAAATATATTTTTACAATTAAATTGGTATTTTTTGAACATGTATTTTTGTAAAAAAAATAAGAATTACATAATTCTATTGGACTGTTTGAAAATACCAGTACTTTAAAACAAACCTACAAGGCAAAAAATATATCGTCACTCATAAGTGAAGTTGAACATTATTTCCAGTTCATAAATTTGTGTGACCTGGAATACATTGTATTGCCTTCTGAAATGAAATGTTTTTATTTTATATGTATATGTGAAAATGTTAAAATTTATATAGTAAATCTAAACATAATGAATTTGAAGTATACGATCTTATCTATTCTCACAAAAAACAATCTCAGATTTCCATAAATATTATCCTAATACAAGTTCTGTAATAATGACAACTAGTGTAACAATTTCATTCAAAAAATAAAGAAAATATTACAACTGCATTACATCAGTACTAATGACATTTTAATGAAGATGAGTTCCTAGAACTAGAATAAATTCCAAAAAGTTCTTTGTTGCACCCTGCAGGGGCTCAGTGGTAAGTCTCAGTAGTTATCATGCTAAAAATCAGATTTAGTTACCAATGTTTAGCACAGTACAGATAGTCCATTGATCATCTTTATTATTAGCAATAAACAAACAAGTAATTTGTTGTAAAAACAATAAAGTGGGGTACAGCAATCAGGGGCTAAACAATAAAGAATTACTAGATAAACAGCATGTGGACTGAAACTGGCGATTACACCATACAGGGAACAAATGGTTGAATAACAGGAAATCAATAATTGACAATTGGGAAAACATTTTATTCTAAGCATAATTTGATGAAATATTTATAGCTATTGTACAGTCTCTTTGTCTAAGAGCCACAATGAACCAAATAAATAAAGAATAGGGTCTTATGAGAAAAATAGTATGGATCAATTATTTTGTCACTTAGATAGGTTGTTTAGGCAGAGTATTCGTAATGAATCTAAGTTTCAAATGGACAGCAACTGCCTGTTTTAGAAACCTACAAATGTAGAGGACGATGTTTCGAAAGTCTTCTGCCTTTCGTCTTTCATCTTCTTTGGATTGATGTTAATTTTCATAATGTAATATAAAGAATATGGAAAGGAGTGGATTGACATTTTAAAGAACCAGCCCAGGCAATATCACTATTAGCACCCCAGTAATTTTTCACGTGTTGCATACTAGCTGAACAAGAATGCATCAATTGCCTGGTGAGCCAATTTGCCCTAAATATGAAAGAAATGCATTATAAATATCTTCTATATTACACAGCTGTTTCACTGTAATATTATGAATATGAGTTTTATTTTTTGGGAAATGTTATAAACATGTAAAATTGCAACTTTTCCATGCAGTTTTATACATTTCTTGGCAGTCGATTTTTTTCTTCGCTTATTTATAAAGATGTGTCCTTTTTCAGTAGTATATCACTAATTAGACAATGTAGCCGTAACTTGCCTCAGGTTGCTTGACCTTGATGCTGTAAAGAATGAGACATTTCCAATAAAGACTCAGTGGTAGCAGTGATAGCTTTCCCATAATATGTAATGTGAAAAAAGAAACCGATATAATCACGATGATTTCAATTTACAGAAGAGGTTGGCATTTTTATGTACATAATTATATGCAGTGTAAAGAAATTGATAATATTTATTATATGGGAACTCTAACTTTGAATATGGCATGCGTGAACACTGCTAAGAAGGTGCTATGAATGTACACTTTGTTTACCTCATGGTAATAAACTGTGTTGCATAGCCAGGCAATACCTTACGTGTGCAATGTGTTTGACACTAATTTCCTTCACTTGATGTGTTTTGAATATATATTAGAAGGTCCATCTCAAAAT